AGCTTGGCACAAGGCTCTAGGGACCTGTGGCTCTCATCTACTAGTGGTGTCCCTTTATTTTGGGAACAGCTCAACCACAGAGATCCTTTGGCCACATCCAGGGCATGTTCCTCACACTCTTTTATACTGTTGTGACTCCCACCCTTAACCCCCTCATATACACCTTGAGGAACTAGGATGTGGAAGGAGCCCTGAGAAGACTGCTAATAAGAGAGCAACATTTCTAATGGACGTTTTGTGCTGGAGACTTATTGAAGAGACATAATATTAAATAACCATTCTCTAATGTGCAGTGCATGTGTGGCTGCATTTACATACAGTGTGGCCCACACTGTGTCAAAAAAGAACATTTAGATTCAACTTCTGTAGCACATGAAAACTCACATATGTGTCACAAATATTTTCGAAAATTCTCTCATTAACTATATTTAAAAAGTTGAAGTATATAGAAAGAGTGGAAGACTTTCCCCACACATAAATATATATTTGCTTGCAAACATGATTAGGGAATTAAAATAATATTTAATGTTTGCAAAGTTGAAAAGTATATATTAGTATGAATGAATTATTGTAGTATTTCCTTTTAAGAAGAATTCTCGTATAACAGTGTTGCAAACATTTTGTAACTATTGTCTCAGTTTTTTTCAAGGAAAAAAATAATAAAACCAAACTTCAAAAAGTGGGAATTTTTGGCATAAAGGGCCAGATCTATGAATCTCCTTAAACTGCTACTGAGAATGCATTTTTATTTAACAAGTAATAATTAAAATAATTGTTATAAGTAATTACTAAATAATTTAATAAAATACGAAACATTAATGTAATATAGTTTCTGCTTGATTCAGGCTCTTCTTGGCAAAAGCTTGCATTCAATTCTATTTAACAGTCACTTGCTTTCTCAAGTGTCTTTGTTGTTGTTGAACATGTGGACTGTGGAGCCACACTGCCTTGATTTAAAGCTTTGTTTTACATACTTGCCATTCATGATTCTCTCTGCCCTTTACCTATTTTTCTCAGTTCAATCAGTTCTTACATATCCAGTATGGATTAAATAAATTAACTCATGCAAAATGTCAGAAAGTCATTCATGGCACTGGTAAATGCTGAGTGAGTCTTAACAATTTTTAAAAATACTCTTCTAAAACATACTTGTGTTCAGCTAGCTCCATAGTCTGCACACACAATTTCTATCATTCTCAACATGTGCTTCATTGGTTAGTGTTTGTTGTTTTGTATTTTATATTTTATGGTATTTAATTTGTTATTTACTGGAAACACTAAAGCCAATCAAAATCGTTCTTTACACTGCTTTGTATCAGCACCAATTTGCACTTCAGTACCAATTTTGACTTTGGAATATGTGCTCTAAAGAATATTGTTGAAATTTTGTGTCACAGTGCTTGGGTTCAAAGCCCAGTCCTATGAAGCTAATTAACTAGGATAGTGTTTAAGTACATACCTATACTATGCCAATTCACAGTTTCCTCCACTGTACAAGAGTGGTAACAATAGTTCTTAATTTGCTTGGCTACTGTGACAAGTAAATCTTATCTTCTAGATAAGAGTTTAGCTCAGAGGTATCAATTGTATATTAAGAAAAACCACCCACCTATTGTTAGCTACATCTATATCACTTACACTATTCCAAATTTTGTAGCTCAATTGACCTTACCCATGTAATGATCTCCCTTATAACTTCAATCACTTTCTAATATTTCAACACCTTTTAACTGTGTCCAACCATGCTCTATTTTTTGGTAGCTCCTCTAACTCAGAATAAAATTGGAATACAGATCCTGCATTCTATTCAGATTTCTCTTACCCTTGCAGACATAGGAAACTCTTCTTCAAGCTATCTCTAGTGTTGTCTTAACCCATTTCATCCATCACATTCACATTGGCACTGCCCAAGATAAGATCCTCTATCTTGACCCTAACAAAGATTGAAAATATATAGCTCTGGGCAGGAATGGATTTTGGTGCATCTTTGGTTTGGAGGGAAAACTATAATTTAATGACTGTGAACGCCCTCAATGTGCAATATATTTTCTGCCTTACAGCCTTTCATACCTGGCCCATGGACGCCTTTTGGGTCTACTTCTAGCTTCCAAGGCACTTAAAATGTTGGTACTTTGTATTTTTAAATTTTCAAACTATTCTCTTGATGACTTATTTTTTTCAATGAACGCTTTGATTATTCTAGAAAAATTAATCTCTATTTATAACTATGATATTCTAATTATAAATGCCCCTTAAATCATTACAGAATGAATTCTAAAGTAGCACAATATCTCAGGTTGTTCACCATCTTGATTGAATTTGTATTTTATCTCCTCATTATGATCTCATTTATCCTATTATTTGAGCAGCAATTTCTGAACATTTTATTTTTATTAACCTTAGCAATTGATACCATGTCAACTTCTCAAAACCAAAATTAAATCTCACCTCTTCCACAAAGATGTCCTCATTCAATAATAACTTCTTTCTCCTCTGACTTGCCATGCCATGTAGTATTAATTCATAAATGTATGAGAAAAAGAGAATCATTCTATTTAATGATTAGAATACATACTTTGTTATAGTTAGGGGAAAAGAATATAATCAGAAATCATAGGGGATATGCTTAGAAGAGTGAAATGAACCAAATTGCTTAGGGATTTATATGTTATGTGAAGGAGGCTGGACATTACTACGAGTTCTAGAAGAATATCTTGTTTTGTATAAGATCTTGGGCACCAGAGTCATACCAACCTAGTTCTAACTCCTGAAGTGAGTTCCCTAATTTCCAAATTTATAGAGATGGAGTAACAGTGCCAATTTCATGATATTAGTGTGAGGAGTGAGGACAACACACATAACAGGCTTGACAAGCATCTGGCATGTAGCAAAGCTCAACACTCATTTGTCTATTATTGGTGATTTTCCTCAAGGAGCACTATTAAATCAGAAGAAACATTATTCTTGTATGTCTACTGCCCATACCAGGGGCATGGCTCTTTCCATGCTCCTGGAGAGCAGCTTTAGAATGACACTGATTTTTCTGGTCATTTTCAGATGGTAAGAGAGGTGACTTTTCTAGTAAAGTATTCTCATACCAATAATTGAAATAGTTGTCACCTGTTTTCAGGCCACAAATATAAGATAGAAAGTAAATAGAAATGAGTATATAACTGAGAAAATCAATAAGGCCAAAAGTACAATTTTGAAAGAATTTAGTAAAATTGGGAAGTGGCAGGCAAAATGGTTCAAGAAAAAATAAAAGAAAGAAAGCCCAAGGAATCATTATCAGTAGTAAAAGTAATATAGCCACTCATTATAAATTCTAAATAGAATAAAAATAATCAGTGAGCATTGTGAACCACTGCATACTTCAGAGCAGGAACATATTTTCAGACACTTTGGGACTCATTTGGATCAGGAAGGGATTTTAGCCTGGCAGGCATTGAGTGTGGGGTGTTTGACAGAAACCCAGGAGGGTGTACAAACCAGAGAGAGAGAGAGAGAAGGAGGGAGGGAGGGAGAAAGGGAGAGAGAGAGTGTGTGAGAGAGAGGGAAAGAGAAAGAGAATCTGAATGAATTAAAGAAAGACATTAGGGAGGGGGGATAATAGAGGATAGGAAAGGCAGCAGAATACAACATACACTAGTATGTCAGTAGGTAAAAAAGTGGATGTGTAACCAATTGAATCTGCAATATATATATAGGGTAAAAATGGGAGTTCATAATCCGCTTGAATCAAATGTATGAAATATAATATGTCAAGAACTTCGTAATGTTTTGAACAATTAAAAAGAAAAAAGAAAAAAAAAGAAAGACATTAGAGGAAAGGAAAGGAGTGTAATCCAGCATGGGGACAGATGTGCATATAGTAGGAAGACTTTCCAAGGTAGAAGTATGCTATGTCAGGAAACAGCAGTGTATTTCCTAGGAATAGGAATTGAGCCCAAGGGAGATTACAAAACTTTTCAGTAATTTCAGCATAGGTAAATTAATCAAACTACAACCTTGTGGTTTGAGATTACAAGAATTTATTGATTAATTAGTAAATCATTACTGTGATGATGCTATGAACAAATGGCTTTTTTCTTTCATCATTGGATGTACAATCATCTGGCAAGGATGTCTGTGGATGTTGTGATAGTGGTCACCTGTCTTCTTTTCCACATGAGTGATTAATTATTACAGTAGCATCTAATAAAAAAAATTACTGTTTCTATTGATCTGAAATGCCGAATTTGTCTAAAAGGACCTACCTTTGTCTACTGCCCATATCGACCATGTTTCATTCTATTCATAGTTACAAAAAATTTTAATTATTTTTGAGAACCTTGAATTTTATCAAATACTTGATTTTGGATTTAATGATATGATTATTTGTGTGTTTCCCCTTGATTTTCTTATTTTGGTGAAATATACTTACTCATTTTTTAGGTTCTGGAATAAATTCAATTTGGGTAATGAGTATAATTGATTTTACAATTGCTTTCACAAAATTTCACTTGCTTTTTACCAAATTTATACTTCCCTAGGACAAGTATTTGAATATTTCTTTTTTTTTATTTTTCAAACGTCTGATATAAAGATTTGGTAGAAATCAATTTGAAAAAAACCTGGATACTTGAACAGGTATGATACATAAAATCTCCCAATGATCTATAAACAAACTAATATGGTCAAATTTACTAGTTATCAGGGGAGTACAAAGTTTAAATTGTAATGAGATATCCACTACATGCTAGCAGATGGCTAAAATTAAACGAACATAGAACATTAAGTGTGGGTATAGATGCAGAGCACTTGGGATTCTCACACCACCTGTGGTGTGTAGATGTTTATACAAGTTTTCAAAGTAAATGGTATTTACTAAAGCTGAATATATGTGTACTTAGTTTATGGCTAAACATTCTTTAAAAGCAATACTTACATTTTTATTTTCTGAAAGATATATGCAAATTATTCATACCAGCATTGCTCATAAAAGTTAACCCTAGATACACTTAAATGCCTGTCAATACTATTATGAGTAAATATGGTAGAAATATGGTAGAAAAGGCTCTGGCTCTGCCCTCAGCAGATGGTATCCTCAGCACAGTAGAGAATATATGCATGTAGGTGACTCCAATAGAGATGAAGCAAACAAATGCCACCAAGGAAAAGAAGCCACTAACCCCAAGCTCACCCACATATTCATTGGAACAAGAGAGTTTCAGAAGCTGGGGGACATCACAGAAGAATTGATGAATGATGTTGGCACCATAGAAGTGGATGGAGAAAGTAGCGGCTGTGTGCATGACTCCACCAAGGATTCCACTGGTCCAGACGGCTAACACTCCATGAACACAGGTACTGATATCCATGATGACTTCATAGCACAGTGGAAGGCAAATGGCCACATAACGGTCATAAGACATCACTGTGAGTAATGCTATCTCAGCACAGCCACAGAGAGTGAATGCAAAACACTGCAGTATGCATTCCCAGAGGGAAATATAGCCATTATGCATGAAAGAGTTGCAAATGGACCTGGGGACCATCACAGAAATGTAGCACAGATCCAGGAAGGAGAGATGTTTCAAGAAGAAATACATAGGTGAGGAGAGACTGTGATCCATGGAAGTGGTGGTAATAATGAGAATATTGCCAACTAGAGCCACTAAGACTAAGAAAAGAGCAGCAAATAGCATTTCTATTTCAGGCTTGCCAGAAAAACCCATGAGAAGAAATCCACTCATTGTAGTGAAATTAGCCATTTTCCTTCTTGATTTCTAAGAATGATACTGACTGTAGGAAGAATGGAAAATCCTAAAAATACATTGTTTGTTATTCAAGAATCTAATGTACTTACTTGGCAAAGTGGAAGCATGAAGATTGGACCATCAGCCCACCATTTTAAGCATGAAATATCTTTACATACTAAGAATTACATAGAGTAATTTTAAATGTTTTGACTCAGCCATAAGGAAGATTAGTAAAATAGATAATATAATTTAGTGTCACTCATTCTAATCAAAGGAATAAAAAAATGCATGATTGAACTAATGGAACATACAGCACCCAAATTTTATACGCACCAAAGGTTTCATTCAGTTCATATGAGCACAGCACAAACACATTTTTAGAGACATTTTTGAGGTGTTTGTTTTTTTCCCAGTAATCTTCCTAATTTTAAATCTTATTTTTTTCATTGAAACACAGTAATTGTACATTTTTATGAAGTATGGTATATTTTAATTTGTGCATGAAATGTGTGATAATCTGTTTTTTTTTAATTAGCTGTATATGGACACAAATGCCTTTATTTATTTTTATGTGGTGCTGAGGATCAAACTCAGTACCTCACATGTGCCAGGGGAGCCCTCCACCACTGAGTCACAAACCCAGCCCTGATAATCTGTTTTTATATCACCACTGGTACTACTTGATTCTTTAATTTCAATTTCATAATTTTGTTTTATATATAAGAGAACAAATACTTAACATTTTTTCTTTCTCCATGCTTTCTTTAGAAAAATAACATTAAAGATACATCATATATTAATAGCATCTGGGTAAAAATTATGATATACAGTCATTGCCCTTATCATAAAATATATAAAATCATCTGAAAAAAATATAAGTGATGAAAGGCCAAAATATTTCTACTGCATTTTAGAAAAAGAAATCAAATGACCAATATTCTCAGGAAAAGTTACCTACCCTAATTTTTAATTAAATAAGTTTAAAGTAACAATGAGGTACAACTTTTATTCTAGTCAAATTAGCAAAGATCCAAAACCCACAATTCTCTGAGCTATTGAGAATGCAGTCAGATATGATCTTAATCATGCAATTAGGTTGATAAAGTTTTCACAGAATCTATTTCAGGCATATCTCTGGATTTAGCATAGGAAGTTCAGTTGTCCCTGTGTCTCTGGAGGGTTAAGATAATCAACATTTAAACCGCTTGGAAATAATTACTACTGTTATGTGCCATATTTTGTTAGATTATTTTTACTGTGTTTATTTTTGTGTATTTACTGATGGTTTATATATTGTATCATTCTTTTAAAACCCAAAGTAGTTATTATTATCACTATTATGTATCTCATTAAAGACAGTTTAATCATAATTGTAATGCCACCTATTTTTTTTTCTTTTTTTGAGAAATGCTGAGGATCAAACCCAGGGCCTTGTGCATGCTAAGGAAGTACTCTTACTGAGCTACATCTCCAACCCATGCCACCAAAATTATTATTATGTAGATAAATAATTCAATAATCCTCAATTTGACCATTAAGTGGTTGATCAATTTTTGTTACATCATGTAATAATTCTTAATGAAAATAATTTCCTTAAATACCCAATATTCAGATTATTTAATTAAATATTTAACACAAAATTGATTCATTTAAAGGAGATATTGTGAGATGGGAACAATGCTCTGAAAATATATTTTTAGAATATAAAGGATTTAAAATTTTCTTTCCTTGATTCCTATTTTTTTTATTTTTTGTTCCAGAGATTAAACCCTGGGGTGCTTAATCTCTGAGTCATATCCCCAGCCCATTTTTAAATTTTTTACTTTTTAATTTTTATTTTGAGACAGGGTCTCACTAGGTTCTTAGGGTTTCTTTGAATTGCTGAGGGTGGATCTGAATTTGTGGTCCTCCTGCCTCAGCCTCCCAAGCCGCTAGGATTATGAGTGTGTGCCATCATGTCAGACTGATTCATAATTTTTATTTAAAAAATCTAGAGTTGATAATTCTTTTTGCATGTGTGTTGGACTGGGTGTTGAACCAGGGGCACTCAACCACTGAGCTACATTCCCATCCTTTTGATTTTTTTAAAAAAATTGAGACAGGTTCTCACTATGTTGCTGAGGCTGGCTCTAAACCTGTTATACACCTGCCTCAGCCTCTCTGGTAGTTGCAATTAAAAATGTGCAACACAGTGCCTGGTCAATTAAAAAGAAGTTGTTAATTAGTTTTTCTAAGCTAAATGCCAATGTCTGTCTTTATCTCATCTACTCAAAATCTGTAATTTATTTGCTTCACATTATTCATTAAAATATCTTTCTGAGAATCCAAACACACTCACCTTAGCACATCCAGGAATTTCTTCCCTAAACCTGGGGTAATTCTATCAATGTGGCAACTACCATCTGGCAAAAGGTCCATATCTTCCTAATTCATTCCCTTCCAGTAATATTTGGTTCATAGATAGAAAAATAAGGTGTTTCAATTCTTTTTCTGGCCACTGGAGGCCAAGCTATATATGTCTTTGACTATAAGAAAGGTCACTGAATGCTCTGGGTATTTGGGACCAATTGTAATTGTCTTGAGACTGAAATTTGCAATTCTGTGATCTTTTCTCATGGAGTATTTTTTTTTTGTCAATTTGAGTAAATAATCACATCTACTTAATTGGAATTTCATTTTATTTGTGCCCATTAGACCAAAGCATTGTGATTTATGCTTTGGATTAAGAAGCACTCAATACCAGGAGGTTAACTCCTTTGTTCAGTTTGTTCATTGGAAAGTAAATGCATATATAGGGAACTCAAGGCAATTTGGGGCACAACTACAAAGCAGAGGTTGTTTGGCCTTCACATGCTTCCAATTTAGATATTACCATATACTCAAAGAATCACAGCATGAGAAGAAATTGTAAGATAATCACGACCAACCAACATCGTATCAAAATTTTAGATACATTTTTCCAATTATGTAGTTTGTCATTCTCTGTTTGAATGATTCAGTTCTAAGACTTTACTATAACTTTCAGACTTCAGATTCTAGGAATTGAAAGGTGAACATATTTTGGAGTTCTTCCTCATATTGAGCCCAATTTTCCAATTTATTATTTCTTATCTTAACATTGGAAGGGGTAGATGTGGTCCTTATTATTTTATTATTAACTTTTGTCAATGTCTAATAATTATACATATTATGGGTACAGTGTGATATTTCAATATATGTATACAGCTTGTCCTGATCAAATTAGGGTAATGGACATTTCCATCTCATTTCTTTATTGTTGGAGGCTTCAAGCTCCTTTCTTCTAGTTCTTCATAAAATATATAATAAATTATATTGTGAAATATAGTCACTTTACAGGGTTGTTCGAACAGTAGAACTTATAACCTCTATGCAACTGAGTTCTGGGACCTATTGTGCAGCTTTAATTCCTTTGATTTTAGTCTTTATGTGTCCTTAAAAGTGAGGTGAATCTTGTAGGCAGTTTATAATTGTTTTCTGCTTTATGTAGATCCTTTGTTTCTTTCTTCATCTCTTGCTATCTTTACTGTGGTCTGATAGTTTTCTGTAGTGGAATGCTTTGAATTTTTCTCTTTTTGTTTTGTGCATCAACTGTAGGTATTGGTCTTGTAGTTACCATGAGGCTTATGCAGAACATATTACAATTTTAAAAGTGTATTTCAAGGTGATAGCATCAACAACTATAAAATTTTATATTCCCATTTTAGGTTTTTAGATCAGAATTACATGATTTAAAAATATGTATTCCTGGGGCTGGGGTTGTGGCTCAGCAGTACAGCACTCACCTAGCATGTGTGATGCTCTGGGTTCCATCCTCAGCATCACATAAAAAAAAAAAAACTTAATAAAATAAAATACTGTGTCCAACTAAAACTAAAAAAAAAATGTATTCCTTTGTTAATAGTTTAGTTTTACACTCTTTATTAGGGACAAAATTCTTGTATACCTTACTGTTATAGTCTTGGAATGTTCTAACTTATGCTATTGAGCTTTGTGCTTTTCCAATTTTTATGCTATAAGTTAATGACCTTTTGTTCACTTAAAGAACTTAATTTAGTAATTTCTAAATGAGCTACTGAAGATGAAGTCCCTTCATTTTTTTGGCATGGTAAGGTTTTTATTCTCTCTCATTTTGGAAAAATAACTTTGCTAGGCAAAGTATACTTGTTTGCCATTTTTTTTCCTTCAGTACATTGAATGTAAAAGATACTTGGACCCTTGCATGTTATATGTTTTTCATCTTTTCCTAAATCCAAATTCCATGTTCCCAAGTTAATGAATTTTTGTTTATTCAATTTAATTTTCTAGTCCCTAGATCAAACATACTCAAAATTCAATCCCATAGTAATATTGCAGTATGTGCCAGCTAATAATTTCAGATACTTTGGGTTAATCTTGGTCCTCTTTAACAGCCTGAGCACGTGTCTACTTATTTTATGCAGGAATTTAACTCTAATTTTTAGCTTGGCAGTCAGGAGAAACATACATTCTTGTTTATGGTAATGCAGAAGATAGAAAGTGTTTTTAATTAACTCATGGGTCTTGTTAAGGATATTACCAGGAAAATAATTTCATCAGTCAGGATACTACAGAGAAATAGAGCTAATATGACTTTATCTCTGTCTGTCATCCATAGTCTATCATCATTTCTCCCTCTCTATGTATTATTTACCAACTTACCTATCTACGCATCATGTATCTACCATTCATCTGGTGCAAAAACTGATTCACATATTTATGGAGGCTAAAAAAATTCCAACGTCTGCATTTGGCAGGCTAGAGACCCAATAGTCAATGGTGTAGTTCTAGCCCAATTCTGAGGATCTGAGTACCTGGAGAATCAATACTGTAAGTTCCAGTTTGAGTAAAGAAGACAAATACCTCAAGAAGTCAGCCACAGTTCTCTATTACTCATTGTGGTGTCTAATTTTTGGTGACAAAATTTTTCAGTCTTCATAATGTTGTGAACCAACTATCCTAAAAATTTGCTTTTC